GGTGGAAAAGAAATGGTAAAAATGAATCATAAATGATTAACTTTAGAAGATGCAAGAAAACGTCCAGGATTTTCAACAAAGTTGTAGACTTCTAACCTCTCCAAACACAATTGGGACAAAACCACAGCTCTTCCTTTATTCTTAGATAGGATCTTTTGACCTCACACCTTAAATCTCTTCAAGTCTCTCCCTTTCCCTTCCCTTCAATCAACCAATTACTTTGCACCCAGCACTTGGCTAAGAAATATGGGAGTTACATGGGAAGTACATTTATATGACTCCTCCTCTCAAAAAGGTTTTTAGTACATATTTAGTACGCATCTGCTTCTGCTGCATTGGACAAAACCTTTTGAACATTTTCTATTTCCTCACCAATCACCTTCTCTCATTTGGCCATTCCTCTTCTCTTCCCCTTCATCCAACTACATTCTAGATCCTTTCTACACTACTTTATTGAAATGTTGCTAAGGTTACCACCAATCTTCTTTTAGACAAATCTCATAGTATGAACTGTGTTCCTTCTCAAAACACTCTCCCTTTACATTTTCCCTTTTGCCTATTCTTTCCATTTTATTTGCTGCCGTCCCCCCTTATTATTTCCTTCTCTAATTTATTGTCCATTCTTTATTGGCTTAACAGTTGACTCTGAAAGTTAATCCCCAACTATGACTTGACTCAAGTCCAAAATCGTGGGGTTTTTCCTTGTCATTGTTGTTGTCCATGTTTTTGCTTTTATCTCCCAGTAGAGAGCAATGTAGATGCTCTTTCATAAGCTAAATTTAATATGTGTAAAACTTAAATGATGTGCAACACTGGTTTCCTTTTCTCATCTTTGTAGTTCTCACAAATGCATTTAATATACAGTATTCCATCAACAAAAAAATGGCCACATATCTCCCGCCACCTGGATGGGAAACGGGCATGGAACACTAGGTATCCCTTAGAGAGAGCACAGCACTGGTCTTCCAGGTGAATCATCACATTATTTTACAGTGAATGCAGAAGGTATAGCATGACTTAAACTCCTACCCATGCAAAACCCTTAAAAAGCCATTAAGAAGAAGTCAAAATAGGAGCTGTGTACTGAAGAAATCTTAGGTCGCATCATAGTCATTCTTAAATTTAGAGCTAAATAGGAAGCACTCCAATTACCTCTGAAATTAACAAATTCCCAAATCTAGCCTGAGGTCACGTTGGAAGAGACAAAAATAGCCTTTGCTCTTTTTAATTTGTGCTACCCTTTCTTCCCCACAGAGTTTTTACTTTTTTTCATTATTTTCACTTCCAAGATGATTATTGATAATGGCTTTTAAGTCTTTCTGTGAGTGATACTGATTCTGTTAGTTTGAAATTTATTTCTGAATATATAGTGGAGATCTTATTTTGGTTCAATTGTTTTCAAGTGCTCACACTATTTTTCTGTGATATATGCTATATGACACATGACATATGTTGACATATGAGCATAGATTTCATAGGCATCAATTAAATATAATGCTCAGGGTATGAGTTTTGCTTAATTAAAATTCCATATTGAGATTATTCTGTAATATCTTGTGTAAAATTGTACTATTGAGAACTATATGAAAACTAATATTTGTCCCCCTTTTGGGCTTAGCAAATGTAGTTAGTTATTGATGCCTGAAGATCTTACAGAGCTTTAGAGAGAGCATGAAAAGCTTTGTGATTTATGCTACAGAAAGAAATAAGATTGGTCTGAATGTGTATTTACTGATCCTGAACTTATTTCTGTGATTTAAACTGTGAATTTTTTTTTCATGCTTGAGACAGCTAATTGATTTCAGGTTAATCAATCTTTTCCTGTATACAAAACCATATATATATGTATATATGTGTGTGTGTGTGTGTGTGATTCATATATATGTGAATCATATCCATATATGTGTGTATATATATACACATATATATACACATATATACACCCACGCACATATATACACACACCATAAATATGTATATATATTCTTATAACATTCTTATGTTGTTACATGATCAGACAGTTTCTATGAGAATCATATAAATTCTCATTAAAAATTAATCAATTACTCTGTCAGTTATCCCACAACTGATTTTTTTTTCTTTATTTTATAAAACACACATCTTCTCGAATTTGAATACTTAAATGCACAGGTATTCTTTTTGTGTTCACACAACCATGAGAATTCCATTATGAAAAATTGGTGGAGTTTGAGAAGTATGTGAATCAGAGCATTTAATTAGATTTGTTTTGTTATTTTTTTTGTTTCTGTAATTAATTTATCTTATCCAAGGCTTTTAAGAGGTTTTGCATCCCCTCCCCTTTTTGTAGAATTACTCACAAAACATTTCTCATTGCAAAATATCATCACAGTGACCTGGCCCTTTGGGGAAACATGTAATGTAGCATTGCTTACGTTACATAGCTTATATAATTTATTTCTGTCTATCATATCATATCTGTAAATTTACAACCAATCTGGGGGCATTTTCTATCAGGTTTAGTCAATTTTAAAGGATGCAAACTTTAACAGCACAGAAACCTATTATTTTTCCCTCAAGGTATTTTAGTTAATAAATTAGATATATATACATGATATACTTTTGTGATTACCACTTGATCTTCTCAATTAATGAAATTGCAACTTAGAAAAATAAATTTGTCATTAAATTTCTGTTTATATTTCCCAGGAAAATATACATGTAAAAACGATGACACAGTTGATTAATTTTTAAAGGAATATAATATTCTGAGTAACAATAATGGAATTCTACCATGGCTGAGAATATGGATAATATAATGTTTAATGAGATGATTATCATATCGAGCTATGGCAAACACAGTTTCAATTGATTTGTTATAATCTATTGGAATGATGCATTTCTTACTATGGAACTTTTAAATTGCATTAATCTTTGGATACTTGAAAAATAAAAATTAAAAATAATTTTTGTATTTTATTATTGGGAAAAGGGAAGTATTTTTGATATTTATTTAGGGCTAAGAAGCAAAATAAGATTTTGTCTCCTTTTACCATTTTTTCTCTCACTTATTTGCAGACCTCCCAGAAAAAGGGATTTATGTGTTGTCTGGCAGGATTTTATGGGATAGAAATGGTCTGACTAATGGTCTGGCTAATGTCATTCTCTCTCTCCCACAGACTATTTTGAGTTCCTAGATACTGGAGGCCATATTTTATGTATTACTGTAGTTGAGGGGATGATTTTCGGATAGGTTTTTGGGTAGATAGCACTGATAGAACTCACAAGTGAGAGTTGAGGGATAAGAGAGAATAAATTAAATTTGTATGTAGCTTGAGTGACTAAAATAATAGTACTATTAAATGAGATGGGAAACAGGGAGGTGCAATTTGTCCTAATAAAATTTTATTTCCAGATTTCTAAAAGAAACTAGAAAACACTAAAAGTGATTATCAACAGATTTTTATTATATTCCTTAAAAATATTTACAAATTAGAGAAAATGGATGATCTTTCAATGTTATTCCATGTTCTCAAGCTATTCAACTCTCTCTCTCTCTCTCTCTCACACACACACAAACACACACACATTCAACTAAATTTTTCTCATTGACAGCCCACTTCGTGCACACTTAACAACATCACAATCTTGACCCTTGATAGCTTAAGATCCCAGAAAAGAATACAATTAGATGTTAGATGTTTGGTGTGGGAAGAGAGTATAATCAAAATCCTAAAATAGAAGATATGGAAAAGGCAAAATGGAGAACAGAGGTTTACCCATCCTATTCCTAGTTAGGAATCTCTAGGCAGAAAAATCAAATGGTCTGTATCTTAATCACCAGAATTCACATTCAGTATTTCTTCACTGTCAATGTAAGGATTAATAGTGACGTGTTCTGCTCTGTAAAGATGTTTTTTCCACAGGGAGGACAGCAGAGATTCTCAGCAAATTTGCATGCTTTCTACTCTTGGCCAATATTTTAGCATACTGAATATAGTGAGTGCTAAATGGTGAATAATCTGCTATGCAAATATTTGGTGAGGTTTTGCAATGCAACAAATAACTCCTTGAAAAATAGCCTACAGAAATCGAAGGTATTCACTCTGAAATTCTTTGACAAGTTGTTTAGAGAGTTTTCATGTTTCCTTCACAGTACCTTTGACGATGCATTGTCACCTCTTAATCAATAAAAGCAACTAAGGATTTTTGTTTCAATCATCTAGTGCAACTGACCTTTTGTTTGCAATTTTCAGCGTTATTCCATGTGCTCTGACTGTAACATACTATCTGTTGGATACTAACTAGTTGGTATATAGAGTGGTGGCTATGTTTAATATAGTAAACTTGACTGACTCATTTATTTTTGTATAAACCTGTTGCTGCCCTCTGGAGAATATTGTTGGCTAATGCAAATGTATGAATAAAACTATCTATGTAAATGCAGATTGCTTCACTTTGAAGAAAAAAAATTAGAAATGTCATACAAAATATGTTCACTTTATAAAAATGCTAAAAACTTGTTTTAGTTTTCCATATTCCTATAAGATGAAACCATTTTATTTTATACATGCTACTTAATTATTAGATCACAAACTTTCCCCCAAACAGTTTGCAAATTAAGAAACATATGTTCTTAATGTCTTTCTCAAAACACTGATTTGAAGCTATATGTACTCCACAGAGGGACATTTAGTAGAAGCCCTATATAAATAAAGTGCGTACAAGAAATTTTAGAAAAACTAAGATGGTTGTATGTTGGTAAATAAATGAAAATCTGTTCTATTTGACTTTTTTTATCATTTATATAACACACTTACCTGTTTGCTAAATTTAATATTGATTGTTTATCACTTAATATATATACTTAAGTTTAATTGGTTGTTATGCAAGTTATTCTGACTTTTAACTAATTTTCTTTTTCTTTTTTTTCTCTCCCCAGAGAGGATGGTATTATGAATCCAGTCTGTTAGTTTCCTCTTCTCAATTTTAAACTTTGGTTGCTTAAGACTGAAGCAATCATGGTGAACCTGAGGAAAGCGGTGCATTCGTTCCTGTAAGAATGTTATTACTTATTATTTTTAAAAAGAAAACTTTTTTATGATAGCTTGCTCAAAAATGTTAAAAAGGCTTTTATATAATCATTCAGCTATATTTGCCTTAATCTGCATAAATGACTTGCATCCCAATAGACTAATATTATCGGTTTTTCCTATTCAAAAACTCTAAATGGAAAAAAACCCAATAATTTGAACTCCAATTAAACACAACCACACATGTATTCAAATATGTAATGCGGTAATAATACCCTCAATTCAAAAATAATTCCAGTGCTCCTGGTTGCTTTCTTCATAATTAAAACGTAAAAATGAGAAAGGTTCTTTTCTTTTCCTTCCTGCGTGAACTGAACAGCCAAGAGAATAAAATGTCTTTATAAGCCTCTGGTTTTATGAAATATATTTGAGGTTTCAAAAGAATGGCTCAGAAGTCAGGGCATGGGGGTTGGGGGATGTGGCTGGACAGAAGAAAACAATGTCATCCTCGGAAGTCTTGATACAATGACCCAGTAGTTAAAGTCAATAGAATGTAACATAAAGGGGATAAGTAAAGAATTGGATTCAAGTACTGAGCAACTCTAAACGTGATCTAGCCCAGGTATATCTTCTTTTTAACTTAGTAAAATTTTGGGTTGGTTTCTTCTAAACCTACTCTTTCAGGAATGGGGTAGGGAAAAAAAGATCCAGGGCTCTGTAAACTCTGATTAGTACAGTTGAGAAGCCTTGAATCACCTTGCACCTACACAGTCTCCTCTATGATTCCTGTAAAAGAACTCATCTAGGAAAAAGTTTACAGAGTAGTGTAGATATAAAGTACATCAACATTGGATCCTCTGCAATATGTGCCACTGTAGCCCATCTTGGATGTCACTGTACATTGTAGTGATGAAAGTCTCAAGGATGTATGATTCCAAGAGAACTAGAGCAGACAGGAAAAGGAAAGGGTGAAGGACAGTGATAAAAAAGGGAAAAGAAGAGTCGGGTATGGGAAAATGAAAGGACAAATGTTCCTACTCCATGCGCCTGTGCAGACTCAGTATTTAGCCACTGGTCCATATACCAAATTATAGGGCTACCTTAACGGGCACCAAATTATTCTGGTATGAAATCAAGGAACTCACATAGAATTTTTTCCATTCTATTACGAGAAACAAGGGACCATTTATCTTTTCTAATAATGCCCATTGTCATATGCCATGCAAAATCCCAGTAGACTTAAAATGTCCTCAGACTTTTAAATCAAGTTATCATTTTGTTTATCTACCAAGAATGTAAAATTATATTATCATTAAAAATTTAGGGCCGGCCCTGTGGCTTGGTGGTTAAGTGCGCGCGCTGCGATGCTGGTGGCCCGGGTTCGGATCCTGGGTGCGCATCGAGGCACCACTTCTCCGTTCATCCTGAGGCCGAGTCCCGCATACAGCAACTAGAAGGATGTGCAGCTACGACATACAACTATCCACTGGGGCTTTGGGGGGAAAAATAAAATAAAATAAAATCTTAAAAAAAAAAAAAAATTTAGTAGCAATGAAAAAATTATTTACATTGTTCAGAGAGAAACTGTAATTTTTGTGTACATATTTTATGTGACTTCTGTGGGCTTAATAACAATTAATAGAAGCTTTAGGAGCAAGACCTAAATTACTCCACTTTTGTAAAAGGACTGTATATATTTCACTGAGCATGCAACTATTAGAAATTAGGTTAAATTATAATATAGTCAATTCTTGACTACAAAAATATAGAAAACAGGATTTAACTGCAATAAAAATCATAATACTCTGCCTATAAGTAGTACTAAAAAGAATTTATTAATTTTAATTGAATTGAAACCAGGAAACTGAAGTAAATACTCTTTCAGGGTCTTTCCCAGTACCATTACTTTATTTATAATTCATAATAGGTATAAAAATATATCTGACCAGTAGAGGTAGGCAAGATGACTACTTGAAGTAGTTTTTTACCTCAAAGTTCTGATATACTCAAATTATAAAATTTATAGTTGGACATAGTTTTTCATCTATTTTTTTCTTATGTACACTTTTATCCTGCATTTCTCTATCATTCTTAGAGAAACATGAAAAGATTAAAATGTTTTCACAATTTACTTAGAAAATTTGAAGTTGGACTGCATATTTTGTTAGGAACCTATTCTCTATGCTTAAGGTTAAATATATCTGTGGTTCTGTAAGAGACAGTTGAAGATGCAGCATATTATTGTGAGCATAAAGTCTGGTGAGACTACTTGAGATGATCATCAGCTAATTTAAACCAGAAAATTTTTTTTAATGCCAGAAGGACAAGTTTTTCATCAGCTAGACCAGAAGAGACCGCAAATTTAAACTTACTATCTGAGTCCACTTCTGCATGAATAGATATCTTCCTAAAATGAAATCAGGACTTAAATTCTTTTTTTTTGTTGTTTTTTTTGTGAGAAAGATCAGCCCTGAGCTAACATCCATGCCAATCCTCCTCTTTTTGCCGAGGAAGACTGGCCCTGAGCTAACATCCACTGCCCATCTTCCTCCACTTTATGGGGGATGCCGCCACAGCATGGCCTGGCAAGCAGTTTGTCTGTGTGCGCCCGGGGTTCCAAACCCAGGGCTGCCAGCAGCGGAGCGCATGCACTTAAATGCTACACCATGGGGCCGGCCCCAGGACTTAAATTCTTGACAAATTTTGAAATACATGAGTTGGGGGTGTAGATATCATAAAATACTTTTGTTTAACTTCGAAGGCAGAGTGAAGGTAAGCTCCAACATTTACTGAGGGCCTATTATGACAAAGGTACTATTTTCAAGACTTTATATATATCATTTAATTTTCACAACAATCACATGACAGAGATGATCTTTGTTGCACAGATGAGGAAACTGATGTTTTGAGAGGTTAAGTGACTGGTCACATTGGCCACATGCCAAATGCAACGAATACAACTAACCAAAGCTGAGAGCAAATAACTTGCTTCTGTTTATTTGGTTCTTTATTTCAATAGTTTCTATTCACATTAACCATGGATTAATTATGATATAGAGTTTATGAATCATATATTATTTTCGCTTATTTTGTGTGTTCTAGGAAAATAATAGGGCCAGCATTTGAAAGAATTTACTAATTACTTCTCATTATTTGATAAAAATTACTATGTATGTCTCTCCCCTCCATGTTGCTTATAATATCAAGTAGCTTTGACTAATGAGGAAGTAATTTTAAGCTAAATGTCTGAAGTATTAGTTTTCTATTTCTTGTAGAAAGTCAAAATATTTTTATGATTTCTTCATTATCTTAAAATACACAGAAGTATATTAACAAGGTATTAAGAGAAATAATTATTAAATATACTAGAAAATTATTACAATATTTTTACTTGTTTAAATAATGCCAATAATTTTTCAGGCTTAGTGTTACACTCAATTCAGAAAAGATGGTGTGTGTGTATAATATTATAGAGATGATATGATTACAATAATCATAATCGTCTAGTTTTAATACTGCAAGTTTCTCTGATGATTGATAGTAAGTAATGAGTCAATCAAATTACACATATATTTTCCCTGTATGGAGATAATACTTTTAGTTCAAAGAACAAGTGAATGAGATAATAAAATAAAGCATTTACATGGGAAACTCATAGACTCTGGATGTTGTATTGTCATGTATTCCATCTCCCCAATTCCCAAAAGAATCTTACTTCAACTGTCTAGCATTGAAAATTGTTCAGCACATATTGTACCAGTAGAGGAAATTTTTTCCTCTATAAATAATGCCAAGTTTTAACAACCACTACATATAGTATAGTTGCTGCTTAATATTCATTAGATATTACTGAAGATAGAATACACATAAGACAGTCATTTATGGATAATAATCCTTGCTTTTAAGAAAGAAATATTGAATATGTTTGTCTGTCTTGTCTATTTTATTAAGGAAAATACATGTTAGTTTTATTAGACACTTCAGGAACTTAGACTTTGAGAGGACACTTTATGTAACCTGAATAAATCTCATATCACCAGTGGGGGAAATTAATTTGAAATGTGCAAAACATAACCACGCCCACTTCTCTTGCATTAGTCTGCCACCTGGCCTGAAATTCCTATTAGTAAAATCTACTGAAGTACCATCATGTGAAATGTACATTTTAAATGACTTAAGAGATTTCACTTCCGGCATAGGAAAGCAGCAAACCCATACGAATTAATCATCACCTCAAATCATTTTCTAGCCTAGAACAAGGCCCAGAAGGCATAGAACAGAAATGGGTAGAGTGTCAGGTAGAAGGAAAATTTATAGCACAGATATTAAGAAACTACGGACCAGCATAAGGTCACTCTGCAACCGTGAGAAGGTAAGAAGAGTTCTAGAAAGAAATGAATATGTGCTATTGCCAAAACCCACTGTGCCTCATCCAAAATCTTGCCTGAAGTTGGTCCGATGGGAACTCATTCTTTCTTGGCTTTGGATTAAAAGAAGGCAACTTCAATTTTCTTGTCAGGGTACTGGATACTTAAAAGAAAATCCCTTCTCATTCTGTTGTTAGTTGTTTCAGAGGATATCTAGAAGAAATTAATATTTTAAAAATATAAAGAATAGACCTGTATTTATAAAAAATAAACACAGTATTGTTTGATTACAGCAAATCAAACAGTACTGTGGTTTCAGATTTTTTGTGTAGAGTGAAAATTTAAAACACAGACTTTGAAATCAGTGACATCTGAGCGTGGACCTACCCCTGCCGCTTACTGTCTGTATTGCCTTGAAAAAGTTACTTAACCTCTGTGAACCTTAGTCTCTTCATCTACTTATTGGATATAAATCAGTACTAACCTCACAAAGTTGTTGTATGAGATCAAATATGATTATACATATATATTTCAGTAAGCTAAGTGCCTGATTCATCATAAGCACTCAATAAAAGTATTCTTTGGATAGAAAGAAGAAATACCGAGGTTTAATTAAGAGAGTAGAAGTGATGATAATGATGATGATAATGATTGTTAAAAGCAATCATTTTGTATAAGCAATTTGTTAGGTATAAGCAATATAATATGTACCTGATTATTTTTTTCTTACTTTTCAGTGTGCACCTAATTGGCCTATTGGTTTGGCAATGCGATATTTCTGTGAGCCCAGTTGCAGCTATAGTAACTGACATTTTCAATACCTCCGATGGTGGACGCTTCAAATTCCCAGACGGGGTACAAAACTGGCCAGCACTTTCAATCGTCATAATAATAATCCTGACAATAGGTGGCAACATTCTCGTTATCATGGCAGTAAGCTTGGAAAAGAAACTGCACAATGCCACCAACTACTTCTTAATGTCCCTAGCCATTGCTGATATGCTGGTGGGACTACTTGTCATGCCACTGTCTCTGCTTGCAATCCTTTATGGTAAGTACAATTTTATTAATTTTTCAATCTCAAATTATGTCATAAATTTGTGTCAGGTATCATAGTAAACGCTCATAAAGTTAATTATTTTACTTGTATCATTTGGGAAATGAAGAAAAAAGCAAACTGTGTGACTTAAGGAATTGGATGTGTGTATCATATTTATTAAATATATCAGTAGCAGAGTCTTAAAAAACAAAAGAGACATTTTATAATATATTAAAATCATACATAGATACTCTGTTGCTCACTGTCATTTGTAAACAATGACAGTGGTCTTACAATGTACAGAATGGAAGAGTGACAGAAACATGCTCCCACTCCTATATTCTAGGCAGTACACATACCCAGTACCATCTCTTATAGAAAGAAGGAAAAAGTGGCTCATCATCTTGAATAAATATATTCTAAGTTATCTTTTTAAATGTTGGCAAACTAAGTGCCTGGCACATAATAAGCACTCAAGGAAAGCTATTCTTCTTCATGCAGTCTACAATCCATGTTTCTACAAGGAGACAGGAAATAACAAATTAATTACTACTTATATAAGTTCAAGATCACATTATCACAACAAAAACTCAAGCATTGAAAGTTTTACTATATTGATTTTAGCGAGGTTTTTCATTTTTCATGTAAATTCAAAAATGTAATCAATCTTGTTTATACCAAACTACTATAAGAAGAAAGCAGAACAAGAGAATCAAAAAAAGCCATTTGATGAAAACTCCCACCAATAAAGAATGATCAAGAAAAAGAAAACTATAAAAAAACACTTCAAACAAAATTAAATTTCCTCAAACAAGCGTTTGAAGATATGAAAAAAATACCTTGAAGTAGAAATCTAAAAACTAAAAGAAATGGACAAAAAAATTGGTTAAAATAAAGCAAAAGTTGACTGAACCCAGGACAATAAAATAGAAGAAAAAGAAAAAATCATATCAGAAATGAACATTAAATTAAAAGTGCCTAAAGAAGAATAGATTCATATGAAAACTTAATAAGGAGCATTGAAGAAAAACAAGGAAACGACAAAGATAATAAAGATGAGATAAAGAAAGAAGGAAAAGGGTTCAGGAAGAAATTGTTTAATATGGAAGACCAGCAAAATGTATGTACAGTGACGCACCACATAACAACATTTTGGTCAATGACAGACTGCATATACGACATTGCTCCCATAAGATTATAGTGGAGCTGAAAAATTTCTATCACCTAGTAACGTCATAGCCATGATAAAGTCAAAGCACAACGCATCACTCATGTGTTTGTGGTGATGCTGGTGTAAATGAACCTACAGTGCTGCTTGTTGAGTAAAAATGTAGCACAAACACTTATGTACAGTACATAATACTTGATAATCATAATGACTATGCTACTGGTTTATGTATTTACTATACTACACTTTTTATAGTTATTTTAGAGTGTACTCTTCCTATTTATATAAAAAGTTTACTGTAAAACAACATGCTGTGTTACACTGGCAGCAGCCTCATACATCTCGCGTCTACCATGTCCATTGATTACACCATTTTTTTTGTGCTTGATTTATTCTCATGTTGTTTTGCTCAGCATGGCCCCTAAGCATACAGAATCCACTGCGAATATTGCCAGTAAAAGGCCACATCGAGTTATTGACCTGGAAATGAAATTAAAAGTGATTAAAGACTACAAAAATGGAAAATCAGTGATGGTTATTGCTCGCCAGTCAGGCATGTCCCATTCCACCATAGCTACAATCTTGAAAAATAAGCACGAAGTGGTAGAAGCCGTTAAAGGATCTGCTTTAAGGAGACAAGGAGGCCAAATCAATGCCAGGTTTTGAATCTTTAAAGGACAGGATAACAGTTTTCCTTGGGGGCAATGTGTCAGGCAACAGATTGAAACCCTTTGTGATCTGGCACCTTGAGAACCTCAGGGCCTTCAAGCATATCAATAAGCACACCTGCCAGTGTACTACGGGAGCAATAAGAAGTCATGGATGACCCAGCTCCTCTTCCGAGAGGCCCTCCTGAATTGCTATGCCAGTGAAATGGAGAAGAATTGTTTGGAGAATAACAGATCTTTCAAGATTTTGCTTACTGTTGCTAATGCTCCCAGACATCCTCTTTTTATTGGTGATCTTCATGCCAATATCAAAGTGGTGTTTCTCCCTCCAAACACCACCTCTGTGATTCAACCAATGGATCAAGGAGTTAGAGCAGCTTTTAAGGCCTACTACCTGAGGAGGACCTTTACCCAGGCTACTGCTGCAACTGAGGAAGACACTGACAAGACACTGATGGAATTCTGGAAAGATTACAATGTCTATGACTGCATCAAGAACTATGCTTGGGCTTGGGGTGATGTCAGCAAGGAGTATAGGAATGGCATCTGAAAGAAGACACTCAAGAGGTTTGTCCGTGACTTCAAAGAATTTGCCAAGGATGAAGAGGTTGCAAAAATCAACATGGCTGTGGTGAAGATGCAAACAACTTTAACCCGGGTGTCGCTGATGATGACATTGAGGAGCTCCTAGAGGTGGCTTCTGAGGAATTGACTAACGAGGAGTTGTTGGAACTGAAACAGGAACACACAGCTGAAGAAGAGGCGAGAGAAAAGGAAACTGCAGGAGAAGAAAAAGAAGAACCCCCAAGAAAATTCACAATGAAGGGTTTAGTAGAATCTTTTGCAGACCTCAGCAAGCTCCTTCAAAAGTTTGAAAACATGGACCCCAGACTGAATGGTTTTCATTAATAGAGAGGAATGTTCATTGTGCGTTATCTGCTTACAAGCAAATCTATGATGAAAAAAGAAACAAACTAAGCAAACCAAAGTGGACCTATTTCTGAAAACAGTGACACCTCCTCAAGAGAAGCTTCAGATGGGTCCTTGAAGACGTATTCCAGATGAAGGCACATTATCATAGGAGATGACAGCTCCATGAGTGTTATCGCCCCTGAAGACCTTTCAATGGGACAAGATGTGGAGTTGGAAGACAGTCATATCGATGATCCTGACCCTGTGAAGGCCTAGGCTAATGTCTGTGCTTGTGTCTTAGTTTTTTAAAAAAAGTTTAAAAAGGAAAAAAAAATTAAAAATTTTAAAAATAGAAAAAAGCTTATAGAATAAAGATATAAAGAAAATATTTTTGTACTGCTATACAATGTGTTTTAAGCTAAACGTTATTAAAAAAGAGTCAAAAAGTTAAAAATTTTTCAAAGTTTATAAAGTAAATATGTTACGGTAAGCTAAGGTTAATTTATTATTGAAGAAAAACATTTTTTATAAATTTAGTGTAGCCTAAGTGTGCAGTGTTTGTAACATCTACAGTAGTGTACAGTAATGTCCTAGACCTCACATTCACTCACCATTCACTTATCCAGAGAACTTTCAGTCCTGCAAGCTCCATTCATGGTAAATGCCCTCTACAAGTGTATCACTTTTCATCTTTTATACTGTATTTTTACTGTACCTTTTCTATGTTTAGATACACAAATACTTACCATTGTATTACAATTGCCTACAGTATTTAGTACAGTAACATGCTGTTCAGGTTTGTAGTCTAGAAGTAATAGGCTATACCATCTAGGTTTGTGGAAGTACACTCTAATTGCCTAATCATGCATTTCTCAAAACATATCCCCATCATTAAGCAACACATGACTGTAAAATGATCATTTCACATTTGTGAATATTTGAATTATATATACACATTTAAATATACAGTCCTAAATACATGACAATGTTTAATTTCAATCATTATAAGAGAAGTATAAAATAAATGACACTGTGATACCGTTTTTTACCTGTCAGACTGGGAAAATTTTAAAAGCTTGACATGGCATTGTGGCAAGGCTATGTCAACATAGGCATTCTCGTTTATTAGTGGTGGGAATGCCAATTGGTACAACCAATATAGAGGGGAATATGACAATACTGAACAAAACTACATATGCATTTACATTTTAACCCAGCAAACCAGCCTCTAAAAGTTTGCCCTGGATAATAAACCTCTGATAATACAAAAATATGTATGTATAAGGTTATTCACATGAACATTGTTTGTAATTGCAAAATATCTGAAACAACCTAAGTGCCCATACATAGGAGATCAATTGGAAGTATTATAAAATATCCACACAATGGAGTACCATGAAAATATTAAAAGAAATGAGGAAGTTCTCTATTAACTGCCATGGAGTAATTTCCAACTTATACTATTAAATGAAAAAAGTAAAACGCAAAAGAGGGCATAGAGTATGCTATCATTATGTAAGAAAAAGGAGAAATACAAAAATATACACATATCTTTTTATTTGTGTAAAAAAGAAATACAGAAAAGATAAATGAGAAACTAATGAGATTGATTACCTTCAGGGGAAAGGTGGGAACTGGAAAGAAAGGTTGGGGGTGGGAGAATTACGCTTCTCTGAATACACGTTTTATTTAATTTTGACTTCAGAAACTGTGCTAATGTTTTATATATTTAAAAAAATAAGATAAACAAATATTGGGAGAAAACCCTGAAATGGATTATGAACAGAATCAAATGAACTTAACTCTATTTGAAATTAATAACATAACCACATTGAGTAGAGAGTACCAAAAAAACCTAACTCATATTACTTTAAAGCAATCTTTGTACTATATACACAATCTAAAGATAAATAAAAATATAAATAAATGAACTTTAGATATTAGGTTTGATTTTATCAGAGGTACATAACAGCAATTCTGAAACTACTTCCTGTGTATTCTGGGATGGTATAAGTGTATAAGTATACTAAAGATAATAGGAACCAAGTTTCTCACTGTTTCATAAGGGTGTTGAAAAGTTGGAAAGGGGGAAGCAAATAATGAGTCCTATGGTGTTGGATTTATAGTACTTTTTCCCCCAAAGCTCCAGTAGATAGTTGTTATGTCATAGTTGCACAGCCTTCTAGTTGCTGTATGTGGGATTGCGGCCTCATCGTGGCCGGAGAAGCTGTGCGTCGGTGTGCGCCCGGAATCCAACCTGAACC